AAAAATTCAATTACATTAGTCTTATGGCTAGAGAATACCAGTTAATTAATTATTTATTGTCTTCTCTGCCCAGCTGAGACTCTGCTACTGGAAGCCTCTTTTAAGACAAGGAAAGAGACCAGTGCTTTAGTTAATTAGCAAATATTTAATTTGCTTTTATGTTGTTAGGATACCAGGTTATGATTCAAACCTTGTGCTTTGGGGCTGTAGATAGATTTATTCTTACTAGATTGCCGTGCATGATTATAGATTAGAGTATATCAGGTAAGTAAGTAATATTAAAATCAGGAAAATAGCAAAATCTAATTCTTTTCTTAATTCTTAAATATTCTTTGTTTTTTGGTTTTAGGTTATGGATGATGAATCGAATGAAAAAGAAGCAAACTCACCTTAAAATAATCTGGATTTTCTTTGGGCTCAAAAGTTGGACTTGTTGACAATATATACCAAGATTTTATTATTAATATGCTAAGGAACTTGAGGATTAATAAAATATGCCCTTTCTTCAGAGAATGATATATAAATATTGCATGTTTGCTTTACCTCGTTTGAGTTATTTATAACATCCTGAATCATCTTTTGTAAACGTGGATTTTTTCCAGGGATATTTTTATTTTCGTTGCTTATTTCTCATGGTTCCTTCTTTGCATATGTGTAAAGCAGTTTAAAATACATTTTCCCCATCTAATTTATTTACTTTTTAAATACAGAAGTAAATAGTGAGAATGCTTTTTAAAATATTCTAAAATGGGTTAGCTTTTGTGAGATGTCTGAAATTAATTTTAGTGATGTTTATAGCTTGTTTTTAAAAAACAACAATTCTGGTTTAAAAATGGTATCTGGCTACTAGCCCCCAATGTAGTAGTCATAATATCTCACTGAAAGACCCCCACCCTCAAAATCATAATGCTAAAAACTCAAAAACCCAATTCCAGAATCAAGACAAAATTTCCATTGGTTATAAGACAGCAGAATGAGAAAAACTGCCTTAGTATGCCTAGCCTTTACCTTATAAAGCAAAATCTCTGAAAAAAAGATGAGAAACTGTTTTGGTCCTTCTACTGGCTTCTCTTGGCTCAGAGATCCGCAGTCTGTGCCATGATGGAAATTTGGACAGTTATCTTTCCACCATAGGGGTACTGCTTTTTCAGGTAGCCAGTAGAGCATATTAACCTTCTCTCTCATTTTTTTATAGTAATTCAGAGATAGCAATTCATGGAAAATACTGGGAGAGGAAAGATGGGAAAACAGCAGGGATACATTACATCTCTGGAATTCTAGTCCCCAAAAGCACAGAGATTAAGATGGTAATGGAAACAGAAAGAACTCTAGCATTTGTTAGTGCTGGGAATTGAAGTTTTTAGTTTTGTCCTTTGGTTCACTAAACCAGACAGTGGGGTTTGAGAATTTATTCGTTAGCTACCCTAAATGAATTTAGTTTAGACATTGGGAACTGGTTTGCAAACAAGGTACCTTACCTGCCCTTTAGTTGAAGCTATAGGAAATTGAGATTATAGAAGAGATGCAATTAATGGCAAGTCTTGGATATGGCCACCAAATAAGTGGGTGAGGTAGGTAGAGGATTAGATTATTAAAAGAGAAATTATGGAACTGAGAGAGGCCAAGGTCCTGGAAAGATTTTCTACATAAGGGAGCATCCATGAAGAACAAGGAAGAAAGGTGGGGGAATAACATTCTAGGCATTAAGAACTGTGTAATCAGAATTGGAAGTGTGAAATGCATTTGGGAACTGTAAGAAGCTAAGTATGGCCTGAGTACAAAGTAGAAGTGCTTAGCTGGAAATGGTGCAGAAGTAGGCAGTGGCAGTGTGGAGAGTGCTGCAGAAATTCCTGGTTGCCTACCCAACATACACCCCTACTTCTTGTTAAGGGAGGCCCTCTCAGTAGGTCTCACCTCACTCTGGCAGAAAAAGTTATAACTAGTCTAAACCAATCATTTTAACTCCATTTCTCTATGGTAATCATTAGTCTAGGGGTAGCCATATGACCCAGCTCTGGCCAGTGAGCTGTAAGAGAAAGTCTGTTGGAGAATTCTGGAAAGATTTTCTTTGCTGATTGACAGAGAAAGAAATCCCTGGAAAGAAGGCTCTTTTCCCATCCATTTCTTTCCTTCCTGCTTGGTACACTAGTGTGAGGTGCCCAAAGCTATGACAGTCAACTTATAATCATTACGAAAAGCTGGTCCACTGAGAATGGCAAGGAGGAAGGAAAGGGTCTGGATCCTTGAAGACATTGTTGACTCTTGAGCCAGCCCAGGAATCACCCACTTCCAGGGTTTATATGATGTGAGATAAATGTTTTTCTTGTTTTGGCCACTGTTCTCATAACAGTTCTCATAACAGCCTCATGCATTCTGTAACTTGAAGCTGACGGCCTTTTAACAGGCAAAGAGACGGGTAAATCATGGAGGACTTGGTAAATACTTTTACTGCTTTTTCATTTGTGGCAGATTGCCAAATGTCAACCTTAAAATGAAAATGAATTAATAGTATTTTTCAATTAATCGAACTATTCAAAGATTAAAAGGTACAGTTTAATCAGGTTATAGTTTTTAAGTATTTATACTTAATTTCCTCCAATATGATCCCAAAGAAAGAAAATAATCATTCACTATTAGTTGTGTTTACCTAAGACAAAAAGAGAAATTAAAACCCCCCAAAAATGTATAAAATATTTTTACATGAAGTATTCTTGAAAACACTTTATAAATAAGGGACATTTCAATAAGTATTTGAAATTACTATTATTGGTCAGGAGTAAGCCAGGTAGTTGGAAGATTTTTCACTAACCAAAATGAGGATGACATCCTGTGCAGAATGACGTACGGTCATATGGGAGCAAAATATATAAAAACAGCAAACTTTCTTTGAGCGTTCACTATGTGACAAACACCGTGCTAAGCGCCGTACATTTCTGAAGTCATTTAATCGTCTGAGATAGGAAGGTATTGTGCCCATCTCCATGGACTGGAAGATGGAGGCACAGAAGTACATTTTTCATTGCCATATAACTTCGGTGGGAAAGTCAGGAACATGAACTCTGGCATTCTGGCTGCAGAGCCTGTGCACATTGCTGCTATACTATTCTGCCTTAAGGGAGTTGGGCCCACATAACCCTCCTGAGTATTCCTACTTGAGGGAGGAGACAAGGTTTTCTTGCTTTCATAGGTGTTTTCTAGTGGGAAAGTCTTTTCTTTCCATCTCTTTTACTTAATCCAGAACCACAGTAGGTAGAAGCAATGGTATGTACATGTGTGTCTGTTTTTTTGGGGCAGGAATATGAAGCTGATTGCTCTCCAGTGGGGATCTACACCCCTCTTGAGAAACTCCAGGCTTATACTCCCTTTTCCCACATCAGAGTTATCTGTGATAACTCCACAGGGGCTTATAGGCTATCCAGAAATGACTTTCGTGTCCCCTGAAAGAAAGCCTAAAAGTAGTATTTTTTTCCGTGTCCTTATGTTTCTAGTGATCTTTCAGCTCTAGGTAGCTCTCTGAATGGTCTGCCCCTTATTGTGGCTCCGATCACATCCTACAGGACAGAAATAGTAGGTTAAAGATAGGACCAGTTAATCTCATGGTTTTCAATTTGTTGACTTTCTTGGCAGTAGAATGAGTTTCTTTCTAGCAGAGCTAGAAAACTCTGCCCCAGCTTCTGCCTACTGGAAAAATCTGCAGCCACTCTAGAGAGGAATATTAAGGAGAGTACAGGCGGTCCCTGGGTTACAGACGCGATATGTCTCTGAGAACGTCTTTAGGTCAGATTTACATGTAACTCAGATCCCTGATGAATAGTGCATATACAGTAATGTTAATAATATACTATAATGGCTCATATGTGGTAATAATACAGTAATAGTACTCCTGTACTGTAATAATAAGTTACAGAAACTTGTGCTTTCTTTTAATTCAAACAAACAACATAAAAACAAACTCATATAAAAAGTTTAGATAGGGGCCGGGCACAGTGGCTCACGCCTGTAATCCTAGCACTCTAGGAGGCCGAGGCGGGAGGATTGTTTGAGCTTAGGAGTTCAAGACCAGCCAGAGCAAGAGCGAGACCCTGTCTCTACTAAAAAACATAGAAAGAAATTCGCTGGACAACTAAAAATATATATAGAAAAACTTAGCCGGGCATGGTGCATGCCTGTAGTCCCAGCTGCTCGGGAGGCTGAGGCAGTAGAATCGCTTGAGCCCAGGAGTCTGAGGTTGCTGTGAGCTAGGCTGACGCCACAGCACTCTAGCCCGGGCAACAGAGTGAGATTCTGTCTCAAAAAAAAAAAACAAACAACAAAAAAAATTTAGATAGGAGATAGGAGAAATTTCAAATAAGAATATTAAATATTAACATTCACCTAATGTTGCATCAATGCTAGGCTAATAGGAATATTATGCTTATTTTGATCTAACCAAATCAATAATAACCTTTCCATTTCAATAATTAATCTACTACTCTGCTTACTAATAACTGATGCTTTCATTGGAGCACTGCCTTTCACATGTTGCATTATTCTCACCTTGTCCTTTATAATTGTTCCTATAGTCGAGTGACTGAAGCCTAATGCTTTCCCAATGAATGATGGCATCTGGCCTTTCTCCGAATACTTAATTATTTCTACTTTCATTTTCATTGTAATTACCTTTCTCTTCGCTGCAGGCTCACCTGGAGTTTCATGGATTTTCACTTTGGAGGCATGGTCATAAGGGTAAATGCACATTCACAAAATTGAATAAAAAAGTTAAGACGAAAGTGATGCTGTGTGTAAGTGTATAAACAATGAAACTGGCCTCTAGTGTAAGATGCTGTGCCAATGAACCACTTACGCCATGTGGGTTTGTTTACATGTGTGGGAGAAACTAGTTGCCAAATTATTTAATTATAAATTATCCTTATGGGGAGGCTTGGGAGCCTGTTTGTAAGTATGGAACAGTGTAAGTGGAGTCATTCGTAACCTGGGAACTTCCTGTACTACTTCTAGTTAGAGTTAGCATCCTTTGTCCTCAAGC